ATTGTTCCACATCACTGAGACCTGTGGGTGCATACAGCACCAGCAGATTAGAGGTGGATTTTTTAGGCTTTTTCATTTTCTGTGTTGTGACACACCAAACAGTTGGAATCATGCTGTCCTTCTCCACCGGGAAGATTAATATCCGCCCAAATGACTCGCACGGGTGCTAGAAAGTATAATACAAATGAGAATGTATTATCCTATTAACTACCAAGGGCCTACATGTTAATTATCCTGGCCTGTGGTAGTCCAGAAACTGGGTTAAGTGAGACCTTATTACGAATGAAACACAGGCTGCATGAGCAGCGTGCTCAAAGGAATATGAGAAAAGATTATGATGAATAATCTTCACACCCAACAAAACAACGCACATTTCTATCAGTGCACAATCTGTAGTTGAAATCCATCCAACGAATGGAGATACTGATGTTGTGACGTACTTGTGGCATTATTTTTGGGTTGACCCAATAACCTGAGACATATACCCAAATTCAGGACTTAACAAGTCAGTCAGTTGTTTTCCGGTTGCAAAGGTATTCTATTTACATCAAACAACCCGAGATGCCCACCCTGAATCGCTGCCTCCCCTTGACTGCAGGATTTGAAGGATTCTCATCTACGACGACAGATGAGTGATAAGAATAATAACACGGAGGGCAGACCTTCATTGTTATTATGCAAATCTCTAGAGAGTGGCTCATGAAATGAAATAAATGATTAGGCTGGTGGAATCAAACCACTCTCAGAGTGTGGCTTCTGCTGAGCACAGTGAAATGCTATCAGTACATCTCTCCCATTAGAATCACAGAAATTAGACACTAAAGCAAAACCAAATCACCCTCTTTGTCCAGGCTGCACCTCGGCCCATCTAAAAGTACCATCTGTGTTCTGAAGTGAAGAAAATCATGGCACGCTGCTCCCTCTAGTGGATCATGTCAGGAATTAGACACAACCTATTACATGTCCAGGTCTCTTACTTTAATGTGTGAGTGCACGGTCCTTCATGAACTCGTTCAAATGAACCCAAAAGACTGTAAAACTTTTATACAATAATATTTCATGTTGATGCAAATAAGACAGAGATTCAACATGAAAAAAGGACGCTTTTTGACGTGCGCTTTAATTCCCAGGTTACTGCATTAAAGAGGACTCACAATAAACAGCCTTAAAGGTGAGCTGCAGACATGTTCATTTCCATATGATTGGAATATGTGAGGAGGAATTAAAGGTTCTTACAAGTTTCCACTTTCTGCTACCTTTTATCAAATGAATATTGTGATTTTCACTTCACTACAGTTATTTATTACAGTACAGCACAGTTACTAATGACTCAAACCCTTTCATTCTGAGCCCTTTCACGTTTCAAGGTTATATTATCGGCAAATCTTAATTCCTATCACGTGGCTCTGTTTAATTTAAATCAATACCTGAGAGGTCAGTCAAAAAGTTACAGATAAGAGAAATCTTTAAAAGTGCAAGAAAATAAGTGAAACCAGCTACAATAACAGTGCATCAATGTCAACCTAATAACATCATACAGTCTATGTTATTACATACCACACATGTGACCTTTGAACTATTGCATTTTTTTGTTAAATACATTTATAGTTTTATTCTGTAGAATATCAGTAAAGGATGCAAGTAGTACATTTATTTTGAAAATGATCTGCAACAGTCAAAAAAATTGGAAACGTATGGGGACAGAGCCAATCTTTCATTTGATTTCTGCGAGGAGTTAAAGTGTCCACATTCGTGAAAAGCGTCTCATCACTCTGCTCATTACTGTAACTTACTAACTCAGTAAGCACAGAGCTGCCTCATGCTCTGTGAGTTTGTGTAGGAAATAAAAGTGGGTTCAGTTGAGCCACTAGAGGGAGCGTGACGCCATGTTTTACCTCAAAAGTGCTCTGAAGTGACAATAAATATACTTTTTTGCCCAGTTAAACTGCACTGTGTGGTTTTTCAGGAAGCCTGATGATGATCATTTGGGAGTGCTCACACTTTCCACAAACACTACGAGTAAACTCTGAAAGGGGCAAAGCGAGCTTGTTCGACTGTTGTCTAGCACTGCTCGTTTATGGGAAAAAAGATAAACCAACAACAACAGAAAATCCACAACCTGGCATCGGCTGCTCCATCAATCATGCACACATTTAGAAGCGCAGAGATACAGCATATTTACACTGACCATCAATCTGTTGCTGACTGGCTCCTCGTTGGTACATGGATGGTCTGTGGGGGTTCTTATTGTTGTTTTTTTATGAGGAGATGCATTTTGTAGCCTGTTGTGGCAAACAGAGAGGAATGGGGAGAGCATGAGAGCAGAGACCAACGGGGAGGTAATGACGGCAAAATCAATTTCACACTTGACTGCATTTAGGAGAGGTGAGTGGCGCCGGGCATCTTGATCTGTCCATCAGCCCGCGTGATTCTCGTTGCAGTGGCAGCATCATAACTCCTGTTAGACTAACCGAGGGCCAACAACCATGACTACATGGATGATATGGCTGTTAGAGCAAGAAACTAGGCACCTACTACATCACGACCCCCCCCCCCACACACACACACACACACACACACACACGCACACACACACGCACACGCACACACTCACACACACCCTGTACATATGACATCTTTATCTGCAGGAGTGACGCTGAGCTCATCCGCCAACTGTTTAACCTCCAGTTTCTCCAACAAGAAGAAAAATAGGCCAAAAAAACCATACATATATCTATCACGTGAGATTTTTCTGCTTCTTTTATGGAAATATAAAATGAGATCTTGTACATTATAATTATAGACTCTTCAAGATGAGTCAGTTCTGTTCCTTCCTATTATGACGCTAACCTACACATTATTTATTTGCAAAAAGAATCTGCTAAAGCGCTTAATTATGGACGATAACTGTAATTTTCTGATATTTTCTAGACTTCTTCTGTGCACTTTTTAGCAACGTCATCGCTGAATGTCAGTTTTGTCCAGACGAGGCGTTCAATGACAAAACATCCCCTGCTTCACCTCTATCAGCCAGTTAGGGAACAGCAACAGCCGACAGCAGGGAGGACAATCTTCTGCTGTGGTGCTGTGTGTTATCAAGATAATGGTGTCCTTTGTCTATTCAAGGATTCAATTACCGGCAGATTCATCACCTCTAAAGGTCAGCAGAGGCTGAAACTGCACCAAGGTCCTGATCACACTGGAAGCACACTGGATTTCCTCTGTTCCTTTAACATGTTTGAAAGTTGCTTTCATGTATTAGAATGAAAATTCACTATGTGGGGAAAAAGTGTCAGACTGTTAGTGACTGAAATCAGACACTTCTATGCCAAACATGAATGTCCTCCCAGAGGGGCCACTTGATTTTGGTTAAAACAGCTGTGCAGTGGTGTATAGTGAATTTTCTCGAAGCTCAACCATTTGAACACTGAGAATATTTAAAGTTAAGAGAACAGCGTTTTTCATAGATGCAGGTGTAAGCCTGCAGCCAGTTAGTGACTGTTAGGCTTCATCTTTGATAATCCAAGTCACTAAACTGCACATCGACACTTTTTGATGGAATTTTATGACACATAATATAACTTGCTGTGTGGTCCAGACCATCCAGTAAGTTTCAGGTTTATTTTGTAATTTTTTTTTATATTATCATTTATATTATCTGTTTCTTGGGACTATCCATACTTTCTGCCACGTATCTGGATCTGCGGCTCCCTGCCCACTCCCCCAGTCGTGCTGTGCAACACTGCAAGTTTTGGTACTGATCCAATTACAAGTAATTAAAAAAAATATTTATTTAACACAAATCAGTGGACTGAACTTAGAGGATAGAAACAAATTATCGATCCTATTGAACTAGTATCAGTTCAATACCAGCAATAGTATCGATACTATTGATATTTGGATTGATAGTCCACCTCTATCCCTCTTCTCTTCTGAGGGTCACCAAGACTTTCCAAATCCAGCCGAGAGATGTAATCTCTTAAGCTTGTTGTGAATCTGCTCCATGGTCTTACGCTGCTGTGACAAAACCTCACCTAGGAGCTGCACAGTAGGCATCCTGGTCAGATGTTGAAGCACCTCAGCTGGCTCCTTTAGATTAGGAGCTCTACTCTGACCTCTTTCCAAATGACCAAGCTTCTCTTTATCAGCATGCTTGGATTAATGGTAGCTGACAACTTAGACCTCAATTCCTCCAAATATGATTACTTGTACAAAAACAGTACAAAAATGTGTCAGCACTAATACTAATATTGAGGGTTCAAAATGTCTAAAAAGAAAAAATTAGCACATATATATCATGTGTAGAAGCTAATAGCTGAGTTTAAACATTTCTGACTTGTGGAAATAAAGTTTTTTCATCACTTACCAAAGAGTTGAAAGTGATGATAGACACATAAAGTGTAAATATGAAGACGCTGCCAGCAGTTGATTAGCCTAGCACAATAACCAGACAGAGCTGGAAGCAGCTAGCCTGGCTAACGGACCTCCTAGCTTCTGTTTAGAGTAATTTAAAGAGTAGGTGCGAGGAAGTAGCAGCGTTTGGTTACCTTTTGGGGCCTTTCTACACATACTGTTGGGATTTATGTTTATATGTACGGCTAATATCTCATAAGTAGCGTCACTTATTTGTGTGTTGTCTTTGACGGCCCACAGTGTAACATAGTAAGACCCCCTTCACAAGAACAAGGTCATAAATCTGCTCTTATGGAACGCACCCTAGCTCCGTCTTTATGCAGGTCTGACCGGAGGATAAGAGGTGGTTGTCATGGTAACGGTAGTGTTGCTAGCAGAAGGCTGAAGTGCACAGAAAGCTGCAGAAGAAGAAACGTAAGTACTGGATCTCAGTCACACAAGGAGAACTTTTGACCTTTCACCTTAGTGTCCTGTTTATCACACATAATAAAAAGCATTCACTGTCTGGGTGTGGGGTCTTTGTTTGTTGGTGACTCCTGAGCGAGCAGAGAGACACTGCAGCCATTTTTTTTTAAACTTGAACCTTTAACTGCTAAATAAATTTAAGAAAATGCACTTAGAACATATTTGTCTTCTCTCTCTCTCAAAATGAACCCAACACAGTTGTTTTGATAACTAGCCTTTTCTGTCCATTTTGGCCTTTTGTCCACATTTTATGTCACTGAAAACAGAGTTTTCTGAAACTTGGTGTTTGCCTTTTATTAACTCTTACATCAGACTGTGTGCTGTGTTGCTTGCATGACAAAATATTATTGCTTTATCTTTTTATGCACGTTTAGATGCTAACACATGCAAAGGACTCACGCTCCTGTGTTTTTAGAAAGACAGAGATTTCTACATTCCACATTCAGTTAAAACATTTCTGTTATGCCCATCTTTGTTCACCTAATAAAGTTGTTCCATTAAAGATTCTGATTGGCCAGTATTTGTTATTGTTTTCAGCATTTTCATGTAGATGGACAATATTTTCAAATCAATGCTTGTATGCACAGATTTTTTTAAATGAAAGCAGAAAATCTCTATTTTAAAAAACAATACTTAAGCAAGTGTTGAAGTAGCCAGCGTGTAGATTAAGATGAGCTCAAGTTCTGAGTTAAGGCCATTACGCCTCGAGCGCGTTGCAAAGAAGCAAGTTTGGATCAGAAAACAGAATTTTTCTGATCCAAACTTGTCGTGTTACACAGATACACACCAAAAGCATTTTTGCAGAAAATGAATTTTTTTAAAAACTTGAAGATGACATCATCAAGCCGTTGCATGTTTTAAACTACGAGCACGCTTGTTGTTTATTTGGATCTGAAAAATTTAGCTCGGTTTAAAAAAAAAGCCCCAAATTTGTCATGCAAAATCGGTCAGTGCGAATGGCTGCATTAAAAATAGATGAGCCCGAAAAATATTTTCAAGGCACGAAATATTAGCTTGAATTTTACATGTCCGGTGTGTAAAGGGCTTCACTCCTCGCTATTATGACCACTGTTTTCAAAGTGTTTATTTGTCAGCACATCTAATTCTGAATTTATAAATGAATCCCAACAGCCTCTGCTGACTTGAAGCATCTTTGACTTTTTGATACTGCAGTGTTTTTACAGGATCACTTCAAAACATCTGGTTTCAGGATATGAGATGAAGCGACTAAAATAAATTTCAGCCTGAGTACATGGGGGCTCTACACGAAGATGCCAGCATCTCAAAGCATTTAAGACCTGAACTGAAATAAAAACCGAGTAGAGGCCAATATTACTCATGAAAATAATCTTAAGTAAGATTCTTTACACATTTTCCCATTAATTCAGAACGACAGGAGAATGTATTAAGACCCTCCCCATACAATGTGAAAACTGCTCTAAAACCCACTCTTCTCTATGGCTCGCACACACCACAGCACAAGCGCACCTATGTGAAAAGGCCTTTACACTTCCAAAGATATGCACTCTGATTTTCAGTACAATCGTTTTCTGGTTGGTAATAAACTGCAGCTGAAGTAAATTAGGTGCAAACTGATTACCATCTATGGAAAATGACTCGTCATTATCTTTAAACATTAACTGATCTGACACAACAGATAAATATCAACCACATCCATAACTTAATGTGGTTGTAGCAATTGTAGCAATTATCAGTGCAAACACTAATAAATTCCATAACCTACTAATAGCTGTCAACTTAGTGACCAACAGCCCTGCGTCAGCTGACACTGGGGTTACCAAACAGGAGAGAAAAAGTTATTTCAACCTTCAAAATGTGCTCAACGTGTTGTGTATCTGCTGTAGTTTTGATAGCAAGTGAGTGTGCTCCATAGACACACACGAGAGATCTTTCCCATGAAGAGTAATTAAATAATGTTTTATGCCCAAAATCAAAGTGCACGGAAACACATTTAAGAATGTGGATGACAGCAGTTAGATGTTGTGTTTCTCCCCTGGAGCTGCTGTTGAGTCACATTCTTTTGTTGAGCACGCCGAAATGTCTCGAAACAAACAACCAGCTCATTATTTTATTGCCACAGTGGTCTACGAGCAAATGGCTTTGTGTTCTGCTCCCTGTGTTTGTTCATGCTATGGCTCTTTTTTAATCACTTACACAATCTTTGTCTGCTATTCGCAATCTGTTACGGCTGGAAAGAAGCTTAAAGCCTACTGTTACATGAATTCATGACTTGTCTTTACTATTTTCTGCCCGACTTATCCACAAATTTCATATTCGCTATTTCTGATTAGTTAATCCTTCTTGTATGTGAAAGATGCTTTGCAGTAGGTACTATACAAGAGAAGCTTTTCATGGTTGATCAGGTCCTGGCCAAAGCTCCACTCAGCCTGGTTTGAGGACTTTCATTCTGGCCAAATCCATTTTACTTTCAAACCCTTTTGGCCAACATTCAACAATTTTCCATTCTGAAATCCCTCGTTTTAATTTTGCAACCTCTAACCTGCTGGCACCAAAAGCAACACGTCTTAATTATTCAAAAGGAAGTAAACTGTATTCATTAAATATAAATCTGTTTATCCTAATAAATTTATATATTTACAGTGTTGGTGCAGTTGAGTTCAGAACAATGGCACACACGTCCACGCATCTTGCCAGGTGCAGGGTACAAAAATAGGAAAATGAATAAAATCCATGCTTTATCTTGACTGCAGGCCAGAAGAGATCAGTTGAAGCTGATGAGGACCTTTTCAGTCAAATGAAGCATGATGTAATAGAAAGAGGACAGTAGCATACTCCAGTGTGCAGGTGTTCCTTCTTATGTTGAGTCAGGTTTTTCTAATTTTGCTCGCTTGTTCCCATGCTTGCAGTTTCAGGACTCAGGAAGAAAAAAAATAAATATATTCTTAAGTGCTTTATGGGCACATTTTGTTCATCTGTTTGGCAAAAACAACACGTTCTACATAATGTTCACAAACTCCAGTAATCCCATGTGTTAAAAGACACGTCTAGCCACCTTTAGCCACCATCATGTCCTTTGATAAGTAAACCACCCAGTAGACCATGTTAAATGCGCCAAACGACACGGGGAAGAGGATCCGTGCATACTTGTCAATTTTACTGGTTCCGCCCATACCAGCAGTGGTGGGCTGGGAGCACGGCGTCTGCTTCGGCTCCAGTTTGTTCCCCATCATCTGGATGCGCTCCAGCTTCGGGCCCAGCAGATGCTGCAGAGAGGAAGTGCTGGCGTTCTGCTTGCACGGTGTCCCCGCCATTACGTCTGGCGTAGAAGCTGCACCCTGAGGCGTACTCTTCACCAGCTGCGCTGAGGAAGACGCAACGCTGAGCAGGCTCTCAGACTTTGGGCTGGAGCGGGAGAGGGTGGAGGAGCTGCCATTGGTTCCACCGGCTAAAGGTCGCAGCGGCCTTCCTCGCCCTACTCCTGCAATGTTGGTGGTGGACTGGGCTCTCTGTTGACTGCTCGACTCTTGGTGGGAGATATAATTCATGCGCTTCCTCAGATTACCGTTCGTATCAGGATTTTGCTGCGAGAGAGGAGAATAACCATATTTGAGTCAGGCTGATAAGAAAGTGAAACTGACACTGACATTTAAATTTGTTCCTCGTGTTTTAGTTCAGTTTAACAGCTTGAAATACATTTCATTGTGACATTACCAATAAGTTTGATGTGTCACATGGCCCTCTTCCTATTGAAAAAACAAAAGTTGTATCCAGGATGGCCGACTTCTAAATGGCCACCATGGTCACCACCCATCTTGCCCACTCACATATACTAATGTGCCACAAACAGGACTTTAATATCACCAACCATTCCCATTTTATTACGGTGTATCCATATAAATGGCCCACTCAGTATACAAATCTATCGCCAACTGCTGCACCTGTAAGAAAAAACGAACATACAACACCTGGAACACAAAAATTTGAAAATGCGCAGGCACATAAATCAACAATCTTCTTGTGGGGGGGTGGTGAGAGAGAGAGAAAGAACCGTGCCATCCGCAGCCCTCAAGAGTTCTGAAGACCTAAGTCCACACATCTCTGCAATATCTGCACGCTCATTCCAGCAGGAGAATGAGGAAGGCCCTAGATGGGGTCCGCATGGCCAAGGGGTGGGAGTCCCAAAGGACCAGTGGCGACGGGCAGCCGACCCCACTGGAGCTGCCCACCCTAGTGTGAGTCGAGATCAAGGCTCCAGGTGCCCAAGAACCGCTTGGTACCTTTGCCTGGGAAGTTCTTGGCACCACGGAAGAAGTCCAAGCGACAGAAGGAGTTCCAAGACCACCGAGTGAGTGGGTCAGTGACGACACCAGAACATCCAGCCACAGTCCCCGGAACCAACAAAAACCTGCATCCCAGCGGGGAGTGATGGGGATGGTGAACTCCTCCCTCCGTGCCCATGTCCAACAGAGGCCAAGGCTTATTTGTTGTGTATTATTGTAAATAATGTTCCCAGTCCTTTCTAGAATAAATTTTTTTTTTCTGTATTTAGCTTGAAGTGGTTAGCAAGGAATTTTCCAGATTTATCACCATGTTCAAAGTTTTCCAAATGCAGCCCCCAAAGCTCTCTGCACAACAGGCCAGATTTAATAATACAATGATGCACTACTTTATTCTATGCACTTTAAGCATTTTATCCACCTCTACCTTTATATTTAGAATTACCATTTATCCTACGATATGTCTTTACTGAGGAAACCCAACCAGTTTGAACCAAAAGCCATCTGACAGACAATAGTTTTAACCCCTGTAACACCATGCCACCACTTATTGATAACACTGGACAAATCCAACTGGAATTCTTGATTGAGTTTGTTATTGAAACCAGCTCTCAGTTTGGATTCGGGAGATTATTTCTCTGTATTACTGTAGAAGCTTAATCTTAAAATATAAACCATTGAATTGATGTTAGCAAAAAAAAGGAGTGTTAAAAAAAATAAACATATTTTGTGCAAAGAATTTTTTCGTCTCTCCTTTCTTCTTCCTGTTTGAAGGAGTTTGCAGGATAGGTGAAGTTTACTTCCTCCCCACAAACTTTGTCATATTGATCTGATCACAGTCCCCCGACACAGATGGCCTTGATTTGTGAAGGCAGACGCCAGACTGTGCGTAATACAGGTGTCACTTACCATGGCTTTCACTCACTTCACACAAGCTTAAGACAGAAAGTAGGTAGCACCGCATCGGGGTAATGCACTGTAGCGTCAAAGGAGCTTATCCTTTGAAAGTTGATGTTTTCAAGCAGAGTGTGATGCTGGTACTAAGGCATTCGCAGGAATAATCCACCAACACCACCCCCACCCCTTGAATTAGAAAGGATCCAATGTTATTGTGTCCCGTGTGCAGCAGAGGAGGAGTGTGTGCGTGTGCGTGGAGTTTGTGTCTCAACATGGAGGAGGTAAAATGCTGAGGAGTTGGAACCATCAACACACTGTGACCCATGTGCCAAGCCCTCTGGTAACAGGACCTGCTCCTGAGGAAGAGAGTATTAATTTCCCCCCCTGTTGCCAGAGCTATCCTGAAACCTATACAGATGTATTCGGACTGCGTTGCCATGGCAACCCCCTAATCCACTGAAGCGCTGTTGTCACTATACTGCATTCAGGCATGATTACGCCACACTGGGATTTAGGCAGAAGGGAACAACTTAAAGTAGTTACTGTAAAACGGGCATATCCGCTGGTGGGTTACGTCAACTTCAATGATCGGTTAACAGATGACCTATGATTTCCACTCTTCAGAAGATTATGCAGGCTGAGACAAATACATCGCACGTGTTTATCTGGCACCATGAACACATTCCTACAGTTACATAAACAGCACTGCAACACATTCATCATATCTGACTTACAGCTTTAAAATAGCTTCATGGTATATTCATGAATCCTCGTTGAATCCATGTAACTTGCCATGGTGTCGATGCAATTTGCTTAAACTTCGTCACACAGAAATAGACGCTTATGTCAGTTCATGCACGTATAATTTCAAAAGAAAGGTTGCACACCTCGTGACTACTCCCAAACATCTGTGCTGTGAAGCTGTTTTCAGACCCGTCTTATTTTCTCTCTCACACACATTTTTTTCTGTCTTTTAACAAGCAGTTGTTTTTAATTTGACAAGCAAGATTTCATTTGTAAAGTTCTGGGACCAGGTTTCGCTAGCTTTCCTTAACACCCTGTAAGCAGGAGCTCAGCTGACTACTCTCACATGCAGGAACCACTTCTGATGATTCAAACGTGTAGGCTAAAGGCAGTAAGCACATAATAAGGGACATGCTCTGTGAGTGCTCCTTGAAATAAAGTGTGATCAGATTATTGAGCCACTTTGAGAGAAACAGAAGTCACCTGCAGCACTTCCTCTGCGTCCTTGACCTTGACAGGCGTGGATTGGGGCACCGGGGGACATTTGGCCGGCTTCTTTTTGGCGCGCTCAATCTGTGCATTGGTGAAGTAGTTGACAGCGGCAAACTCAATGAGGGCGGAGAAGACAAAGGCGAAGCAGACGGCGATGAACCAGTCCATCGCAGTAGCGTACGAGACCTTGGGGAGGGAATGGCGAGCACTGATACTGAGCGTTGTCATGGTCAGGACGGTGGTGATGCCTTGGTTTGTGGGAAAATAAAAACAAAAGAACACATGAGCCTGTGTCAAAGAGGGAGTTGACATAAATTCTTTCATATTTGATCAAAGCACATAATTAGTCTGAATTTGACTCAATTTGAATGTAAGTAGAGTTGCAAAAATATCCATCTCACTGGGAAAACTGAGGCTTCACCACAGAATTTTAACACTGCAGATCGGAATAGAAAACCAGATGTGTTCAATAACCCATATATTATGTTCTTCTCATCAGGAGATTTCATTAACTGAAGGCAGAAGGATAATGAACCATATACAGTATACAGTATAGCTTTGCAATAGAAACATGTACAATAGAACCACAAAAAGCATTTGTCCACTTGAGCTACTCTGAGAGTTTCACTCGACTCTGTACTCTGAGGACTGATGTTGCCTGTCTGCACCAGCACAGTGGATTTTCAATCAAACAATCAAGGTGTGATTGAATGCAGACTTTCAGCTTTAAACAAACAAACATTACAAACATTTTTATACATAGAAACAAATTTTCAGAGGCTCAGCAGTAATTGGACAAGCCAGCATAACTTTAACATAAGGTTTGTGGTTAATACTTAGGTGAATATCCTTTGTAATCAATGACTGTCTGAAGTCTACCATTCATGAATATCACCGACTACTGTTTCCTCCCTCGAGCTGCTCTGCTACGCCTTTATTGCAGCTGCTTTCAGTTGCTCCACTCTCGAGTTTGTCTTCAGTATCTGTAAAGCTGCTCTATTTTGTTGAGATCTGGTAACTAATCTGAACATTTCTTTGCCTTGAAAAACTCTTGGGCTTCTTTTGTACTTTCTTTGGGTCATTTGGACTGTGGAGCGCTGTATGATCAGTTTCTTGATTGTAACCAGTGGTTGTTGCTGTAAACCTTCTTTGTTGTCACTCACTCTACCTCCTCAACGATGTTTTTGACTCGGCTAGATGTTGTGAAATTTTTTTCGTAACCTAGGAAAGAACAGTTTTTATCCATTGTCTTCTGTGGAGTTTCTTCTTTGATGTCGCTGATGTACCTTTATTTTGATTTTTCAGCCTCCTCTTCTTGCATCTGGGCATCTCTGTGGACCTCAGATTAAGAGCTCCAGCTAAAAGCTGCCAAATACAAGTTCAATACTTGGAATCAACTCTAGATCTTTTAACTTCTTAATCAGTCTGTCTGGAAAAACAAAGGAACAGGCCTCATCTGATCGTGAAACTGCTTGTCAGTCAATTGTCCAATTACTTTTGAGGCCCTGAAAAACACTGCTGCCTTCTGGCAAAAGGTACTAGAGCATTCGGGCCGTCACTGCCAGACTGTGAAACAGCTTCTTCCCCCAAGCCGTCAGACTCCTGAACACTCAGTGACTCGACTCATTCACCCGCTTAAAGACCCATTTTTACTCTTTGGCTTTTAGTTCTGTATGAGTCTGTCATTATTTTATTCTTATTATTTTCTTACCTTTTATTTTACTTTCCTTTTAAATTTTATCTGATTATTTTATTGTACAGTAATATGGTCAAAAAATTTTGTTTTTAAAAGTGCTATATAAATAAAATTGATTGATTGATTGATTGATTGATTGATTGATTGATTGATTGATTGACAAAGTTACTTTACAATGCTATAACGCACTGAGCTGAACCGGTGCCCATACGGCTCAGTCTTCTGCACATTTCTATTGCACTGCTGTGTCTGTATCGTTCTTTCTGTCTGGTGTTGTTGTCTTTGTCTTCAGGGGGGGTTGCAATTTTTGCAAATTGCACTTTATGTAGTCCTGTGTTGATTGTCTGTTATATGCCATATGCAGCACCACGGTCTTGGAGGAACATTGTCTTGTTTCACTATGTATGTACCACTGCACATGGTTGGAATGACAATAAAGCCACTTAACTTAACTTGAATTGACTTGACTTGAAAATGGGGGACTGTGTATAAAAGTATGTGTAATGGCCAACCACTTGCGGTACGATCGTGGCTCAAGAGTTGGCAGTTCATCTCGTAATTGGAAGGTTGCTGGTTCGAGCCCCGGCTCGGACAGTCTCAGTCGTTGTGTCCTTGGGCAAGACACTTTACCTACCGTCTACTGGTGTTGGCCAGAGGGGCCGATGGCAGCCTCGCTTCTGTCAGTCTGCCCCAGGGCAGCTGTGGCTACAACTGTAGCTTGCCTCCACCAGTGTGTGAATGTGAGAGTGACTGAATAGTGGAATTGTAAAGTGCTATATAAATGCAATTCATTATTATTATTATTGCTTGCACAATTAAAAAGTAAGTAAAAGTAAAAATTGTACTAAGTGACAAATTAAACCTAAAACGTCACATCTTGACTGTCTGATTTAGAATCCATAAGATGATGTAAAGACTAAATTAAGTCTAAATTATAAACATTTTGTCACTGTCTATAAACTTGTCGACCTAACTGTATATGCCCCTTCCTGTGAATTGTCTGTCAGCACTACAGGGAGTGCAGAATTATTAGGCAAGTTGTATTTTTGAGGAATAATTTTATTATTGAACAACAACCATGTTCTCAATGAACCCAAAAAACTCATTAATATCAAAGCTGAATGTTTTTGGAAGTAGTTTTTAGTTTGTTTTTAGTTTTAGCTATTTTAGGGGGATATCTGTGTGTGCAGGTGACTATTACTGTGCAGAATTATTAGGCAACTTAACAAAAAACAAATATATACCCATTTCAATTATTTATTTTTACCAGTGAAACCAACATAACATCTCCACATTCACAAATATACATTTCTGACATTCAAAAACAAAACAAAAACAAATCAGCGACCAATATAGCCACTTTTCTTTGCAAGGACACTCAAAAGCCTGCCATCCATGGATTCTGTCAGTGTTTTGATCTGTTCACCATCAACATTGCGTGCAGCAGCAACCACAGCCTCCCAGACACTGTTCAGAGAGGTGTACTGTTTTCCCTCCTTGTAAATCTCACATTTGATGATGGACCACAGGTTCTCAATGGGGTTCAGATCAGGTGAACAAGGTGGCCATGTCATTAGTTTTTCTTCTTTTATACCCTTTCTTGCCAGCCACGCTGTGGAGTACTTGGACGCGTGTGATGGAGCATTGTCCTGCATGAAAATCATGTTTTTCTTGAAGGATGCAGACTTCTTCCTGTACCACTGCTTGAAGAAGGTGTCTTCCAGAAACTGGAAGTAGGACTGGGAGTTGAGCTTGACTCCATCCTCAACCCGAAAAGGCCCCACAAGCTCATCTTTGATGATACCAGCCCAAACCAGTACTCCACCTCCACCTTGCTGGCGTCTGAGTCGGACTGGAGCTCTCTGCCCTTTACCAATCCAGCCACGGGCCCATCCATCTGGCCCATCAAGACTCACTCTCATTTCATCGGTCCATAAAACCTTAGAAAAACCAGTCTTGAGATATTTCTTGGCCCAGTCTTGACGTTTCAGCTTGTGTGTCTTGTTCAGTGGTGGTCATCTTTCAGCCTTTCTTACCTTGGCCATGTCTCTGAGTATTGCACACCTTGTGCTTTTGGGCACTCCAGTGATGTTGCAGCTCCGAAATATGGCCAAACTGGTGGCAAGTGGCATCTTGGCAGCTGCACGCTTGACTTTTCTCAGTTCATGGGCAGGTATTTTGCGCCTTGGTTTTTCCACACGCTTCTTGCGACCCTGTTGACTATTTTGAATGAAACGCTTGATTGTTCGATGATCACGCTTCAGAAGCTTTGCAATTTTGAGACTGCTGCATCCCTCTGCAAGATATCTCACTATTTTTGACTTTTCTGAGCCTGTCAAGTCCTTCTTTTGACCCATTTTGCCAAAGGAAAGGACGTTGCCTAATAATTATGCACACCTGATATAGGGTGTTGATGTCATTAGACCACACCCCTTCTCATTACAGAGATGCACATCACCTAATATGCTTAATTGGTAGTAGGCTTTCGAGCCTATACAGCTTGGAGTAAGACAACATGCATGAAGAGGATGATGTGGACAAAATACTCATTTGCCTAATAATTCTGCACTCCCTGTATTCTCCAGTCTCATTGGCAATCACTTCCATCAATAATTTGGTACCAACCCACTTAATTTCTTATATCATAGTCCTGCTAAAGATAGTCAAGGTCTTTATACAGCAGATGAATTAAGACATCTAAGCAATGGTCAGCATGCTCTACCTCCAAATACTGTTTATATAACTAAGCATTAACTTATATTATGCCACTGTGAGCTTGCAGTTTCCTAACTACAGGGTGGGCCATTTATATGGATACATTGTAATAAAATGGAATTGTATCCATATAAATGGCCCACCCTGTATATCACATTAACACTGGTAACTCTCAAATTGTGGAAATAATTCAAATAAAGAAAGGTTATACATCACAGAGCTAGAGGACACATTGACTGAGGTTCATGCAGACACCGGGACTGAATGTCATGTGTTCTCATTTATTTGTCGCTGCACTACCCAGCGAGGGACCATAAAAATAAAACAAGACACCTGTCTGACCAGCACCCAAGGTTATGCGGGGCTTCTACAATAACAGAAGGTCACCGTATAAGCCTGACGCTCGTCACTCGCCCTTGGTACTATTAACCAATAGCAATAATGTGATTTGGAGAAAATCCCCTTTATGCCAAAGATCTGGAACAATCTGTGCGTCACAGCCCTTACCCAACATAAACGCATGTCTCCTTTGCCCGGACGTGACCGCCATATAATTGCCTGTCAGTCAAAAGCAGCTGGATGACATTGATAGGTGAACTGCAGCTCAAGGCCACAGACTGAGGACGTTACCCTCTAATAGAGAGCTTTTCTTAACATAGCCAAAAGAATGAAACAGTGGGTGTTTTCTATTAAAATTAAAATTAAAGCTTTCGTGGAAACATTTCACTGACTCTGGAACTGATTATGTATATAATGCAAAGTATGGTGTGGGTCGCTGAAATCAGAGAAATTATCCGGAAGCCATTCTTTCACCATAATTATGCTTGGTTTGGATAC